TTTATCCCAATCCATAGCACATTTGTATTTCTTGAGAAGATGGTTTGAAAATATTAACATCGGCTTGGAATGTTTTATAACTACAAAATCTTCATATATAGTACAATCAGGGTTTAGTATTATTGATAGATTACGAACAATACCAATAGATTCAATTGGAACAGTAGCAATACCACTAAGGTTATACTTTACTGATCTATCCATTTTTCTATTTACACGTTTAACAATATCATCTGTTACAATCTCAGTTTTAGCTTCACTATCAAGTATCATTGCTAGAATTTTCAAGCGCTTAATTTTACATTCTATAGTTGCAACACTTGTAGCTGGCTCTTTTCTTCGAACTAAATCTATCTTCATAGGATCATTTAGCATTTTCTCTTCTCTATCTGAATCAGGTATTTCTGGGACTGGTTCTCGATAATTATTATTGCGAAGCAATGACCCTTCGGGTCTATCCTGAATAGATGGTAGCTTACTAAAATTGGGTTTAAGTCTTTGTAACAAATGTGGAGGTAATAGTTCTTTTAATATATCTATAACAATTTCACGAATTTCTTCTAAAGAGGTCTGCTTTGATTTGCGATATTTGGGTGAGTTAGAAACTCGAGATTTCGATCCTCTTTCTTAGACTTAGATTTCTTGGAAATCTGCTTCTGGTTTATTTTTTTTTTGACTTAATAATATTAACTTGCATACTCTCAGTTTCAGAGAAGGTATTATCAGAGTCGGATTCAGAATCAGAATCATTATTGGAAGAGCTATAATCAGAACCTGAATCAGAACTAGAATCATTGGTAGCCATATTAATCTTACCTTTTTTCTTGGATCTGCTTTTCTTTTTATTTTTCTTTCGAGAACAGCTACGAAAATTATGTCCTATCCTACCGCAATTTGAGCAATAGTGCTGAGATTTTTTAACAGTTTTAGCAACAACATTAATGTTTTTAGCTATTTTTGCTATATTCAATGACATGTCCGCCATATCTTTGGTAATTTCATCAACGTCATCGGTATTTGGTGTAATATTGTTTTTTATTTGTGGTTTTGGAGGTAAAGAAGGGGCCTGTACGGGGACAAATTCTGGAGTGTTACCATAAAACCATAGTAATAATCTATTAATATTTTCTTCATAAATTTTTTCAGATGTTCCTACAGGTTGTGATCAAAATTGTTAAGAAATGGGTTGTGAGGTAGGTTGTTGAGATTGTACCGGAATTTGTTGGGTCCGTAAGTTTAATTGAGATTTTACTACATTTTCTATATCACTTATCATTATTCTACTATTGTCCAAATGCAGGTCGGTTTTTGGTTTCGTTATTTCTTTTGGTGTAATTGTCATTTGGGATATAATTGGTGAAACTTAAGGGTTTGATCAGGAATGGAGCCTCTATACAAATTTGGAGGACGTTCTAACCACATATTTTTAAGTTCTGTAAAAAATACATTAATGCCAAGAGGATTAGCAATTTTTATCCAAGTATAAAGCTCTCCCGATAAATGGCCCTTAAGAAGTTCTAAGATATTGGCATCACTATCAGCAACCTCTAATAAAAGAGGACAGATTCTAGTCTCATATGTTTCTGAATTATCAAATGGTAAGAATTTTTCTTGTGCTAATCTTTGAGTAGCAACTTGCTGTGTACCAACTGTTTCTGTTTAATATTTATGACGCAACCAAACAATGAAACGGGCTGAGGTATCAATATTATTACCAGCATGTTGAGCGGGTATATTTGTATCGATATCCGAATCTGAATCGCTAAATAGAGTGCCGAATTTTCTATTTTGCTTGATTGATGTTGCATGTATAAAGAAAACGACACTATGACGAATACCAGAAATAACAGGAAGATTGCCATGAACTAAGATGTTCGATCTAAAAGCAATAGCCTAACCCTCTCTTGCATATATTATTACCTTTAACTCAGGAAACACCAATTGCCTACCTTCAAATGCTCCAAGTGGGCAGACTACACAAAGTGAATCACGGTGGTCTTTTAGATCTCGATGGAACTGAGAGATAATATTGAAATTAACTGCTACCATGGGAAAAGCACCAAACGATTTCGAAACATTTGATCCAAGATCAAGTTTTCTCATCTTTACATACAAAGCTAGATACGTATCTCTAATATAACCGTTAACAGCATCTGATAACGGTTGAAGGCCTTGTATTAATTCTTGAACACATTTTAAATGATCCTGGCTGTGAGAAGAGGCAGTATTTGCAGTCGTATAGGGTTCATTATTATTGCCCGTGAAGACACCAAAATGTTCCACTACTCTTTCTTAAATTCTTTTGACTGGCGTTTTTTATTATCGAGATTGTGACTGTAATATTGACTTACTATCATCCTCGAATCTTCTATAACCTTCGCATTGGGTAAACCAAAAAAGTCTACCACAGTTTCACCAAAAGAATTTTTAAAGCATTGTGGCTCGAAGACGTAGTAGTAACCTTCAAATTTATTACCTATTGCTATATCCTTTGTGATCTCATTTGCCTTATCTAATTTATTTTTTGATGATCGGCTAAATGTCTCTGAGATATTATATTCTCCCTGTATTTTTTTTGGGCTTCTTTGTGTACATGTATAACATTAGACCAGAGGTGACGGCAGTGAAGGTAAAATCGCCTATTAAAATTGGAAAACTTTGAAAAATTAGCCCACAACCCAAACTCTTTCCACTGTTCAGGTGTTGAATTTGAAGAGCCTTCATTAAAGATCTCGGACTCCAGCAGAGTCATATAATGTATCGGTATTTTAGAGTTGTCGATGGGTGTCGGTTGAATTATTTGAGGTGGCTATGTACGTACACGATTTTTTTTCACCGATATCTAAATTTGGGTTGGCTTCTGTAAACATATTATATGCGTTATTTTAACTCAACCACGTACATATGTATTTCGGGTGCATTACAAGCATATGATTTTAATTTTTCTAGCGATTGGGTTGTACAACACCCACCATTTGAGATCG